TTCTTTAATTTATGCAGATGACTGGTAGGGGTCGAGGTATGTCTAGGAAGGATAAGAGGCCTATTGATCATGATGATGGTGCTACAACCTCATTTCCTTCCACTCCACACTTGTATCCCTCTGTTGTTGATGGTCGGCAGCAATCTTCTAGGCACACATCTTCTAGGCACACATCTTCTAGGCACACATCTATCTACTCATCAGACTACCTACCATTCTCTGCCACAAGGTTATACCCCGCTTCCTCCATATGATCTAGCATGTAGTTACATGGGTCCATAGAGTCAGTAGTCACAGGGCCATGTGGTATGATCGTCATCTCCTCCATTTGATTCATCACCAACTGGATCGCATCCATCTAGATTTTAGCCAACCGGCTCGCAGCAGGGGTCTAGATCGATGCAGGGGTGTTGTAACGACCCGACTGGTCATTTTGAACTCTAGCATGTCGTTCGGCAGATTGAGGCCGTGAGCAACTTCATATCAGGTATTATGACTTGTACGCATGGTCGGAATTGAATTCCGGGAAGTTCAGAGTTGATTTGGAAAGAAAATTCTTATTTCGGAAGCTTTAAGTTGGAAGAATTGACTAAGGCTTGACTTTTTAGTAAATGACCTCGGAATTGGGATTTAAAGGTTCCAGCAGGTTCGTATGATGATTTTGGACTTGGGCAGGTCCGAATAGGGTTTCGGATGACCTAGGAGAGTTTCGTCGCCTATTGTGGAAGTTAGCATTTTGGAAGAATTTCATATGTTTTGGGTTGAAGTGCATTTCTGTGTTATCGATGTCCGTTTGGGATTCTGTGCCTGGTAATAGCTCCGTATGGTGATTCTGGTATTGGGAGCGCGATCAAAAGTGGATTTGGAGGTGCATAGGTCATTTTGGAGTCGTTTGGCAAAAGTTAGAAATTTGAAGGTTTTGAGAAGTTTGACCGGAAGAGAACTTTTTGATATCGGGGTCGGATTCCAGTTCCAGAAGTTGGAGTAGGTCCGTAATGTCGAATATGACTTGTGTGCAAAATTTAAGGTCAATTAGAGGTGATTTGATAGGTTCCGGCATCAGATGTAGAAGTTTGAAGTTCTAAAGTTCATAAAGCTCGAATTGGGGTGTGATTCGTGATTTCGGCATTGTTTGGTGTGATTTGAGGCCTCGAGCAGGTCGGCATTTGGTTATGGGACTGGTTGGTGTGATTGGACGGGGTCCTCGGGGCCTCGGGTGGATTCCGGGTGGTTAACGGATCGAATTGGAGTTGGGAGGAAGAGCTGAAGCCTGCTGTCATCTGGTGTAACCGCACCTGCGAAGTCTTGGCCGCAGGTGCGGAGACGCAGAAGCGGGAGTGGCTGGGCTAGGCTGGTACTGCAGACGCGGTCATCTTGCCTCAGAAACGGGACCGCACCTGCGGTAGGAAGGGCGCAGATGCGGAAGTTGAGGGCCTAGAGGAGAACCGCAGAAGCGGATTGTGGGTCGCACCTGTGGAACCGCAGAAGCAGTCAAGTGACCGCAGGTGCGGAAATGCTGGAGGCAGTGAGGTTCTTTAAATCAGGGGTTGGATTCATTTCAACCCCATTTCTTCCATTGGAGCCGATTTTTGAGCAACTTTGAGGTGTCATTTTCATCACCAAGCATGAGGTAAGTGGTTTAAGCTTGTTTAGAGTTAAATACATTGATTATGTATAGATTTTAGCATGAAAATTGGTAGAACTTGGGGTTTGAGGGAAAACCTAGAAAATTGGTATTTTCGAGTTTTGACCACGATTTTGGACATGAAATTAAGAGTAAATTACATATTTGAGTTCGTGAGGTTATGGGTAAAGTTTATCTTCTAAAAATTTCGGATTCCGAGCATGTGGGCCCAAGGGCATTTTTGTCAACTTTTCGATCGGGGTTAGAAATTGTTATGAATTAGATTATTATGAGTAATTGAACATGTATTAATGGGTACACCGGTTATGAAACTTCGGAACGAAATGAGTCTCTTTTCTAACCTTGTAAGAGGGAATTGTCCCTATAGGTGAACTAATTGGATATGTGCTTCTATTTGTGGGGGGGGGGGGGGGGGGGGGGCTATGTACACACGAGGTGACGAGAGTCCGTGCGTAGCTACTATTATGCTTAAGTCCGGGTAGTCTAGGGCCCAAAAGCATGCTTTACTTGTAATATTTGCAACCTTGTTGTCAATTTAAAAATGCTTAAACACATATCGACTGAATAAATAAATTTCTCAAAGGTAAGAAATCATTTCTTGACTTTTAAAAGAGAAACTTGCCTTTTCCTGAATAGGTGCTCCTTGATGAATTCTTGATTTGACTGTTTGAATGTGTTTATCTATTGTGGAACGGGTCGAACGCCTTGGTAGATTAAATAGATGCATCTATGGTTCGTGCCATTCGACCCTCTGGCAGTGCACAGTTTAAATATTGTTGGATCGGGCCGTACGACCTCGGCATGATTTGTGCATGCTTGTATTGCTTGCCTTGAAGTTCATAAATATTGATATTTGTTCTCCCTGGCCAGAGATAAATGTATAAATGATGAAAATGAATTTGGGAAACTTCTATAAAAGAAAGAATTGTTTACTTGCCTTATGCTATTGAGTTACTGCCGTTTTTATGAAAATCATCGCTTTACTATATTATTGGTATATTATTATTGGACCACTAGTAAGTGTCGAAGTTGACCTCTCGTCTCTACTTCTTCGAGATTAGACAGGATACTTACTGAGTGCACGTTATTTTTCTACTCATGCTACACTTGCTGTGCATTTTTGTTTCACAGGAACATGTACCTCTAGCGGCCTAATGGGTGTAGCAGCACGGATGATACGGAGACTTAGGTGAGCTGCATCTCTCGAGGCGACCTGTAGCCGGCATAGTCTCTTTCAGTGTATAGTATTTACCCTCTGTCCAATTTGTATTCCCGGACAGTTATTGTACTTCATTTGATTTCCTAGAATTAGCTCATGCACTTGTGACACCGGGTTCTGGGATAATTACGGGATTATTCAATATTAAGTTTGTTAAAGACATCATTTTATTTCAGTGAATTTCATTATTTATTGTTTAATGCATAAAAAATGATTTCAATAAATACTAAAATGGGAATTTATTTAACTTCTTGGTGTTGGCTTGTCTGACAGTGGTGTCCGACGCCATCACGATCCTTAGTGGATTTTGGGTCGTGACAGGTGTGGATCGCAACCATCTTCATCAGCGACCCCATCTCCCTCTCCGCGGAGTTCGTCTCCTAGCACTTCTAGACTTCGCCTTCGGGATAGTAGCGCTGAGCCAGATGCCTCCCCTTCTGTGCACGCTTCAGATTCATCGGAGGATTATGATCCAGAAGAAGTGTGGTATGATAGTTATCATAGGATGATCATCAGGCCTGAGGGAAATAGGTAAGATTTATTTATTACTTCTTTATTTTTGCTGAATTATAATAGCTACTCTTGTTTATTTAATGTAATTGATATGTTGCAGGTTCATACCTAATCATCGGACTACAAAGATAATCACTGAAACTCTTGGCTGGTTGTATGATGCACCCTATGCGACTTGGATTGACTTTCCACCGGAGCTTGTGCAGCAAATTTTCAACCAATTTAATGTTTTAATAGAACTATTATCTATTTAAGCATTATATCAACGATATGTTCATCTAATGTTGCATACTTCATTTGCAGACTAAGTGTACTTGGGAGGACCGGTATAACAGTGAAATTTGTGCAAATTTTGTATTCAAATGTCGTAAGAGACTATCTGATTCCTTCTGCTCTGCTCGAAAGAAGAGCAAGAAGCCGTCATGAGTTCTACTGCATTTATGGGCTGTTGAGGCAGTGGACAACCGAGAAATTCGAGAAGAAGAGTGAACAGGGAAAGAAGGCCCGAGCATCTGAGAAGGGTGGCTCCTTGCACTGTGTGGGTGCAAGGAGCATGGGGACTACGAGGAGACTACTGATAATTCCTTAAAATATTTACATCTATTTTTATCGAACTATATTTATATATTTTAATTTAGTTAACCCATTTTATTATATTTGTAGGAAGAAAGAAGATGACTCATGATGAATTCTTCATGGAGACTCACATCCGGAAGAAGAAGGCACCGACAAATCTAACTAGATGGGTCGAGGACCGGCAGAGACTGCATATGTAAATTTCATAACAACTATAACTTGAAATTAATGTTTATGTTTACCTTGAAAATGGTAATGACAATTATATTTGATTTTGTAGTTCTAAAAATACGTGATTTATTTTAATACTAGTTGTTTAGGCAATAGACGCTAAGTGTAAATGAAGAGAATAAGGGATGCAAACCAAAGTTGTCACGAATCCAGTATCGAGCTGCTGGAACGAAGGCTTCAAGGCCTATTTAGGGCAGTTGATGATGAGCTATTGACGAAGAAACTATGACAATGGAGGCCTCTAAGATGGCCTTTTGCGGCTAATAATAAGCAATAAATGAACAATGAAGGAATAATGAAAGAATGAGCAAAAAATGTGAAGAACAATTGTTTTAGTAAAGAGAGCAAAGAATGTTTGTTATTCAATATGTCGTCCCTTACAAAATGACAAGGGTACCCTTCATATAGGAGGGGTGAACCCCAACACAGTACATGTCTAATAAATAACAAAGAAATGTTACTAGTACAACGGCTTAGTACGGATTTGTACTATTCTTGCAGACTCTGTCAGTCCTCATCGCGTGCCTTCGGGGGTTTTCCGCCTTTCTATTACGATCACCGACTTGCGCTGCTCCGAGATTGACCTTCGATATGCCCCCTCGAAGGAAGCACCTCGGGGTCCACTTTCAAATTTCACTTCGAGATCCTTGAGGTCGGGCGTTGGAGTGCCGCAGTAGTCCCAAAGTCAAACTCTCCGAATTTGGCTGTATACAGATAGTCCCCGCGTTTCTTAGAATGAAATAATAAGAAACGATCTTGAGTTCTTACCTCCCTGATACCCCCATTGTGACGTCAGCCACGTGAGGTCTTTAAATGATGCGGCAGAAAAAGTTGTACAGAGGTCTTGTCAACACAGGTCTCGAAAAGCACACTAACCGCTATTGGTCGCCCTTTCAACTCCTCCAACTCACTTAGATGACTTATAAATGCTCCAATTCCCTATCTTTCAAATCTTTGCAACATCTTCAGATCTTCAAATTTTCGTCAACAATTTCCTGCTGTTTCCCCTTTTCTGTATTCACTTCTGCGTCACCTTGCTTCTAAACTTTGTTATAACCATGGCTAAAACCTCTAAGACAGTACCCCGAAAGGGGGAGCCCCTTCTTCGTCATGCTCGTCTAAGAGCAAAAAGGTGGTGCCTCCCAGTGTTGAGGAGTGCGTTCCGTGGTCCTTCGATACATCCTCCGATTTAAAAATTGACAAACCTTCTTCGGTACCAGGCCGATGTGAGCCCATGTATCGGTATATTAGTCTAATAACCGACATAGAAAAGGTAAAAATAGACTGCCACTGGGGAGAGGCGGTACAAGCTGAGGTCCCTTCATCAGAAGAGGACATAACCACACACAAACCTGGTTTCCTCATTGTATATACGTATCCCTTCACCTTAGGTCCTGTAGATTCTTCTTCTCCGCCGATAGACCCGATGATCCTCAATTTTTGTCGACAATATCGAGTGACGCTTGGTCAAATCTACCCTTGTTTTTGGAGAATCGTCTACTTGATTAGACATTTTTTGAATATGAACGAGGGGATGTCGTTCACCCTCGATCATCTGATTAGATTGTATAGCCCTTGTTTCTAGTCGGGGGGGGGGGGGGGAGTCGCTTTGCCCGAGTCAGGACATTGGACCTCATCCCTATCGAGAAGTGCCATTCCCTGAGGAATGGAATACGAGACGTAAGTGCCACCGCACCGAGCAATGTTTTATCACCTGAATGCCCTCTTTTACTGTTTCAAACTAATTCCTTTCTTTTTCTTAATTGATTCTCTTCTGGTTACGTAGCCACCGTGTGGTTCCCTGGCATGGTCAACGACCTCCCGAGCTAGGTTAAACTTCTAGACTCCACCTCCTCGTATGACAAGCACATTTGGCGAGACTTGGCCAAAACTCGATGGGAGGCTAAAAATCATGATATGTCCTTGCTGCTATCGCCTCTAAATTCCTTCCAAAATAGATTCTTTGGTGGTATGTTTGACATTTTACTCTTGTGCAGTCCTCGGGAAAGCCGTTTTAATGAGGTCGCCTCCTCCTGGCGAAGAGGAGATACAAAAATCCGCCAAGGACAGAAAGAGAAAGAAGGAGACACCGGCGGAGTCCCCGAAACCAAAGAGAGCTAAGGCTCGAAAACCCAGGGACGACGCAACGGTCCTTACTTCAGCAGCTGCTGAGAGTCTTCGTGCCGAAGGGGAAGACGATGATAGTTGCCTGCTGGTACATAGGGCAAGATGATGCGTTGATGCTTCGGAGGTTTCCGGGGAGAAGGCTGTCGAGTCAGAGGTAGCCGATGCGGCCCCACCTCATATTGAGGAGCCCCTCGAGGAGGATTAGGGTGCAGTCACCGAACCGACCGTTGAAGAAGATACAGCTTGTGCAGAAGAGTATTTGGTTGGCGCACTCGGAGGATCCCGCTCCGAAGCCCTTCAAGGGCGAGAGGAAGCCTCGATAGAGGTTGATGTCATAGGCGGTCTTCAATCAGGCCCATCGTTTTCCCCGGGGCAAATACGGGATGCCTAGAACAAGAGGACTCCCGATGTGGGGACACCCCGAGAAGGGGATGATGCATTTGGAGATTTCTTTGTTGGTGTTGAAGAGGATACCGATCTCAATGCTCCACTCATTCTTGAGGAAGCTGCGAAACTTCAAAAACAGGTGATTTTTGACATAAACGTTGTCTTGAGTTTTGATCTTCGCTTTCCTAACTTCTTCCCTTCGTGTTATAGGTCATGATGTTGTATGACCAGGCCTTCTCCAAGTTACGAGCTGAACTGACTCATTGTGAAGGTGAGTTTGAGAAGCTCTCTTCGGATTCAAATGAACTAAAGGCTCGATACGCCCAAAGGGAAAAGGAATTGAACAGCCTTCGGGGAGGTTCAGAGAAAATGCTTCAAGAGCGGGCCAACTTTGTCGAGCAGGTAGATCAGTGATCACGAGCTTACCTTTTGTTTTCATAAATTGGTGTTTATTATCTTGACTTGGAATTTGCAGATTAAGCGAAGGGATGCCCTAGCGGCCAAGGATGTGGAGATCCTTGAGCTGAGACGGTACAAGGATAGCATGGCCCTGGAAAGGGATGCTCTTCGAGGGGAGCTAGCCTCGACACAGAGTCTTCTTCTCGGTGCTAAAGAGGAGGCTCACAAATTCGAGGCGCTTCATGCTGAGTCAGCCGCCGCGTTATCATCGGCAGGTCGGAAGCCGATGAACTCATATCCTCATATCGGAAAGATGTTGTTGCAGCGAATGCTCGAGCCAGGGAGATATCTAACAAGGCCGTGCTCAAGCTAGCTCGTTCCCTTACATATGCTCGATTAGAGGCTAGGAGGCAGGCCTTTGAAGAAGTGCACGCCAAGGGTTTCGACCTCTCTGCCGAGATTGAAGAAGCGAAGGCCTTGGAAGAGGAGTCTGCAGCTCTGACTACTTCGGACGAGGGCTCTTCAAGTAGCTCAGAGAGTAGTGGAGATGAACACTAGGCCACCTTTGCTTTTTTACTTCTTTTTGAATGTGGACTCCTTGTGCGAGCTTTTGTAAATGCACTTTTTTTAAATGCACTTTGTAGATACATTATTGGAAGGCAAAGGATTTTCTTTTTTTAATGTCTTTAGAGTTTTGCCTTTTAGTGTTCATGCCAAAGTCAGGCCCCGACTTTGAACTTAACTCTTTTGAGCTTGGTCTCGGAATGATAGACACCCTTGTGGTCGGGTTGTTCTGGTTTCGGTCGCACACCTTCCTCCAGTCGGGTTGATAAGGAATCGATTTGACTCCTCTATCCCTCGAACACCGCGTGATGGCGTCATTCCTGCGATATGACTGTGGATTGACCGAAGTGGCCCCGTCGGTGCATTTTCCCAGAAGGTCATAAGTGCTTTGTCAAAGCGGGTTAGCTATCAAAGTTAAACGAATAGTCGTCGCTCTTCTTATATATACTCGCTTTCCTTTCATTGAGGGATTTGCCGCTTCGTGCAACTATCTTTCTCTATAGAGTTCCTCCTTTTGCGCTAGTCCTAGTGCCGTATCATATCAAAGTTTTTGCCTGAATTTCCAACTTCCCTTTCTTGTTTTGAAGGAACCATGGCTACCATGCCCAAATCCGCTCATCAGAAAGAGGGAAGTCCCACCTCTGTTTCTCGCCCGGCCGGTGGCACACCGCCAGCTTTTGGCAAACCGACTTCGAACTCTTTCGTATCGATGAGAGATTTTGCAATAGAGAAACCTCTCGACATTCTGGGACATCGAGAACATGCATCCAGGTTCATTCGCTCGATAGAAGAGACATACCTTGAGGCTGTGAGGAGAGATTGCAGATGGAGAGAAAAGGTGAGGCTGCAGATACCCTCTCGGGAAGATGACAATCCGACCCACGTAGAGGGGTTTCTGAACTTGTATACGTACCCTTTTACGTTGGGTCCTCTCGAGTTACTTTGGCACGGATTCATTCGTCTTCTGGCGGATCGTGTTGATGATGAGATTTTTCGCTGAGAAGGCCGACCTCGAGTTCACCCTTAGCTACTTCATCAGGTTGTATCGGCCTTTGCATTATCGAGGTCTAATTACACTACAACGTCGATCCACCAATCCCCTTATCACTAGTGATGAAGAGGACAAGGATCGAGGGTGCATGAGTCGATTTGTCCGAGTGAGGACTGTCGATATTATTCCCGCAGAGTTCCTACCATTTCCCGAAGAATGGAATTTCAAGTGTAAGTGACATACCGAACTCTATTATTTTTGTTCTTGATGGGGCCAGATTTCGTGAGGACGTTTTCTTTCGTTTTTCGCAGCGATCCCGTGGATGCCACATGAGGTCCCCGATCTTGCGGACTGGGCTCGCAAACTGGTAGCCTCTTCGACTTATGACGAGCGCAAGTGGTGAGATTTGTCGAAGGGCAAATGGGAGGCTAAGCACCATGGTATGTGCAATGTAGTCCTTCTCTCGGAGGGTATTTTCCTTTACGCACGCTAATTTCTTTATTTGCAAGCATCGGTGAGTTTTCTGAGGTGAGACCGTCCCCTTACGAGGAGCAGGAAAGACCTTCAACTTCTGAGTCAAGGAAGGATAATAAAAGAAAGAGGTCCTCAAATGACGAGGATTCTCACAGCAAGGCAGGATCCGCTCGAGGGCGTGAGTAGGGCATTGTCGCTGACGAAGATCTCATCTTTATCGGTAGCTCTGTGGACATCAATGCACCCGGAGAGGATGATTCTATATAGACGGCTCGAACCAGGAAGCCTCCCGAGGCTGTTGAACCTGCTGGGCTTGAGGCCCCTAATCTCGATGGAGAGATTCCACAAGAGAGGAGGGGCAAAGGTCCTTCATTACCTGATTTGACAGCTGGTTCCCGGGAGACGGGAAGTGCTCCGAGTGAAATAGACTTTGTCGTATCCCCGCCCGGACAGGGCGTCTCGGGTTGCTCAATCGAGGCCAAAGAGACCGAGTCGGTAGATGCAAAATTGACCTTCGAGGAAGCTCGGCGACTCTGCTCTATGGTGCGTTTTGAGTTCATTATTACTTTTCCAACTTCGTGCTTTCTTATGTTTGACCGAACCTTCTTTCTCATAGGCCTTCGATAAGCTCAAGTCTGAGTTGCTTCGCTGCGAGGCAAAGTTGTGTAAAGCCTTGAATGGGGAGAAATCTCTCAGGCTTTTTGGTGACAAGAAGGCAAAAGAGTTGATACATCTTCGATCGGAGTTGAACTGATGTTGTGATTATAAAGGCAAGCTCGAGAAATAGGTAACCCTTATTTGGAAGGAATACAGGCTTCTTCTCCCATCTTTGGAAACTAACGTTTCAGTATCTCAGTTGCAGGAAAAGACTGAGATGTTGGAACGCCTCCGGGGCGAAGCCAACCAGGTTAATTCTGAATGCAACGAGTTGAAAGCATAGATAGATGCTCATGTTGCGTCCAAAAGGAATGCTTTGGCTAAGGCCTCCGCCCTTGAAATACAACTTCGTAATGCTTGAGAAAGCAGCTTGGTCCAGACAAGCACGATTCCCAAACTTGAAATAGATCTTTTGAAGATGAAGGCCGAGATTGTGGATGCTCGAGCCGAAGTCGTAGGGGTTCGGGCAAAGGCCGATAAAAAGGTGGCCATCTATTTGAAAGATCCTGTTGAAGCTCGTTCGAAGTTGAGGGGGGCTTTTGATCGAGAGAGGAGGAGCAATGAATATGTCCGATGTAGATCCCGCAGGGAAACTCTCGAGGAGATTCATGGTAAGGGCTTCGATCTCTCGGAGGTGATAGGGCAGGCCAAGGCTGATGAGTTTGACGCCAAGTTCCTCGTTTCCGATGCTGAAGACAATGAGGAGGAGGCCGGTGAGGGAGTTGGTCCCGAGGGAGCCGATTGAGACATAGTCCCCGAGGGGGAAGGCTATGTTTTTCTGTCTCGTTCTTTGAATCGAGATCCCCGTGGGAGTGCTATGAATGTATCTCTATTCCATTATTTATAATAAAAAAGGAACCCTTTGGTTTTCCTTTTATATAAATTCCCACTTTCTTGTGTCTTTGTTTATGCTTTGAGTTTTGATGCTTGTTGACAAAACAACTGATAATATTTCATCGTTAAGGGCTTGATCCTCGGATCAAGTTTTGACTCAGGTTCATCGACCCTTAGGTTTTCAACATATTGGCCCTTAGGCTCTTTTAGGCTTGCACTTAGGCTCTTATACATTGGCCTTTAGGCTCTTTTAGGCTGGCCCTTAGGCTCTTAAGTATTGTCCCTTAGGCTTTTTTAGGCTGGCCCTTAGGCTCTTACGCATTGGCCCTTAGGCTCTTTTAGGCTGGCCCTTAGGCTCTTACGCATTGGGTTGGGTCGATGCGACCTCTAATATGGCTATAGTTTTCCCTCATTTTGGCTAAAGACTTTTGAAGTTATGATTATGCCTTGGCATGTTTTGTGTTCGTCCGACTCTTCGACGGCTCAAACGAGAACCTCGATCATGAGTCGATATGCGACGATATTTGAGTACCTCGGGAGGTCCGCTCAAAGGTTGAGTTTTTGAAACATTTTCATTGAAGGCTGATTGTTTTCGAAGCCTTTTTATTGTTCAGAGCTGATATTTATCGAAGCTCTTTTGCTTATGCTGAGGGTAGCATGATTAACCGGTTCTTTTCGAAGTACTTTCGAAGTATTTGGAGGCCTTTAGTTTTATGCGGCAGTCGGACGTCTCTGAGCCGCGTTAATTTGGTCGTAGCCTTTTAGATCGACCATAGTCTTTATGTTTGGTCGTAGCCTTTAGTCCCCATGTGCGGTGACCTCGGCGTCTATATCGAGGGTATGCCTTTTTAGGGGTCTTACAAGTTCAAATATATAGCCTTGGCCTTAATATCGGGGGTTATGCCTTTTTTAAGGTCTTATAAGTTTGAGCACGCCTTGTTGAAGGGCTTACAGGCTTGATGTTGCCTTAGTGAGGGCTTATGAGTTTGAAGTTTCTTGATCAAGGTCTTACGAATTCAAGTTTTTGATGGCTCGATGAGCTGACTGTCAAAGACAGTCCCCGAGTGTCTGAGAGTTTTTGGCTCTTGGGCCGTTTTGCGTGAAAGTAGTGAACTTCTTCGCGGTGCAGAGTGTTTTGATAAGCAAAGAGGCTTCCTCAATTACTTGATATATGCGTACACGTTTTTTGCTTTTGGAGGCTCGATTATTCTACATGGACACAGCTCATTTGACCGTTTGGCCCAATACAACATTCTCCTGTCGAGGTCCTCCTAGGCATAGTTTGATTTCTTCCGAGAGGTGACCTCCTGGGGTGATTCCCCCCGTACCGCGAACATCTCTCTTGCTGTATGCTGCTCCCCGTACACTGCTTTTACTCCATCCTTGGTTGGAAATTTCATCATTTGATGGAGGGTTGATGGCACTGCCCTCATACTGTGTATCCACGGCCTTCCAAGCAAGGCATTGTATCTCATGTCACCTTCGATGACATGAAACTTGGTATCTTGGATTGTACCAGCTACATTGACCAGGAGGATGATCTCCCCTTTCGTCGTCTCGGTCGCCATGTTGAATCCATTGAGGACTCGAGAGGCGGGCACGATCTGATCGAGCAGTCCGAGCTGCTTCACCACCCTCGACCTGATTATGTTGGCCGAGCTACCTGGGTCCACAAGCACACGTTTAATTTGAAATTTATTCAAAAGAAAAGAAATTACCAGTGCGTTATTATGAGGCTGAGACAAGGTCTCGATGTCCTCTTCGCTGAATGTGAGAGCATCCTCTGGTATGTAACTCCGAGTCCGGTTTCCCCTGGTGATGGAGATTTCCTGTCGCTTGACAATGGGTCCCCGCGGGGAGTCAACCCCTCCAATGATCATGTGGGTGACGTGCTGTGGTTATTCTGGTTCGTTCTTCCTGTTCGCCTCTCTTTCCCGAAATTGCTTTTTAGCTCGGTCGCTGAGGAACTCTCGAAGGTGCCCTTCGCTGATCAGTCGGGCTACCTCTTCTCGAAGCTGTCTGCAGTCCTCAGTCCTAT